TTCAGCAATTTGATAACTTGCCAATTATTTACTGTGTCTTCCCTGTTTATTTTTACTGAATAAGTACACAACATATATTGTTTTTGGGACAAACAAGGCTTTCTTTTGATGTTCTATTCCAAACATTATTCAATTTTCTAATGTTTTTAAAGGAAACAAAGGGAAAAATATTTTAACCAGTCATCATTTTCACACAACTAGTGTTTATACATATAAAGTAATCATCCAGAATCAAACCCTAACAATCAAGAGTTTAGGTAATAAGAAGTTTATGTTAAAATAAAATTTGTTGTTCATTCTAAACTTTAAAGTGAACCTTGTGGCCAGATCATGTACACTTAAGTATTTACATCATGAACAAGCAGTAAAAGCACTTTAGAACAAGCCCTCATTCATTTCTGATATAAGCATTGTGGAGAAATTCATTTTTAGGGTTAAAATGTATATGAGAAACCCTCAGCGCAATGGACCTCCTATAAAACAAGTATTGCAGCTAGCATGTACTGTGTTCCCACATGTAAACATAAATTTAAAAAATGCAGCGCAGTACTACAAACTCAAATACAGTGCGCTAAATAAATCCTATGTGAATAGTGAAAACAGAACACTGTGCTTCGTGACAATAATATGTGCTACAACAAAATAAATATCAACACATATACAGAAATATTCATAAAACTACATATACCAGTGATAAATTAGTGTATACAAATACCAAATGAACCGTGCAAAATAGTGAACTGTCACTTTTAACACTCCAATATATTCCCATGTGCTTCTCTGCTGAGAAGATGAGCTCAGTGATTGTGATGGGAGAGTGTTGCAACTGCTGAGGTAATTTGCGGTGACAAGAGATCGCCCTACGCATCACTGGTACCTAGTGTCCGTCATGTTATACCTACAATACCCCCTTCTATACATATTATAGCTGTCAAAGCACATTGAAATACTGCAAAAACGTGCATATATTTGCATTCTGATAAATGTATTTAGTACTTGCTCTCACACATCACAACGACTGACATACACACTGTGACACATGCTTACTGTGATCATCTACTTGGCCTGAAAATACAAGGGGAGGAGGCAAAGATGTGGCTGGAAAAAATCCTCCTCTGATATTACTAATCTAAGGAGACAGCCAGCACAGAGTTCTTGAGGATCAGGTATAAAATATGTGAGAGTAGAACAAAGTCATCCTTATAAAAAAAGATGATTTAAGAAATTATTTGAATTTACTACTTGTACTAAAGAACTGTTTTTTATCTGGTCCTCGAGACCTCGGTGCCACCTATGTTTTTTAGACTCCTTGGATTCCCAGGTTTACCGAACAAATGAGTTTGAGTGCAGGCACTGGGCAGGTGTAAAAGATTAGTTCACCTTTACAGAAAAAATGGAAAGATGAACACCGGACACCCTTCCCACCCCCCCGGTTACTGCTGTACTTGTCTGCTGGGCTGTCAGCATTCCTGCAGCCAGTCCAGGGATTTGACATCCCTGCTCTTCTCCCTCTTCACAGTTTCACTGTGATGGCATTGACCAATCAGAATTCATGTGGTCTGTCTCAGAAGCTCTGCATGGTGAAATGGCAGAATAGTGGGGGTTTCAAATCCATGGACCAGCTGCGGGGGTGCTCAGTAGCCCTGAGATAAGTAAAGTGTGGTAAAGGTAAAAAGCTTTTAACTTTAGAACCACTTTAAAGGAACAGTCTCTAAAGGCAATCAGTGGGGCAGTACTGCTTTAAATTGTTTTTTTTTTTTCTTAATCTTTGCATTCCCAGAATTCCTATTATATTTAATAAACTTTGAACTCTCTATATATGAGGTTTCATGTTTAGATCTTTGTTTCTGCAGAAACTACATGGTGCAGGTTTTGTATCTGCAAGGCAGCTGATGTTTAACTAAGATCAGGATCAAACAAGGATGACCATTAAGTGTATTTGTATTTCTGTCAGTCTTGTCCTTATGTGGGCTCAGGCTGTGTTATTAAATTTGTCTGTTATCAGTGGGATCTCTTTCATAGTGCTGAAACATATACAGTATGCTGTTTGGTTTGGCGCACTCTTAAGTGGCAAAGAAATGTTGTTCTAAGAACTACAGAGCGATCAAGAAATAAATAATAGGTGGCTGTCCTTTTTTATTAGATTGATTACTCAGATACTGTTCTGCTTCTGAATAATTTCATTCCAGAATGCATTCCTTTATTCTGATCACGTTGAGTAAAATTAACCAGTTCCTCCAATATCAGACTCCGGTGCTGAAGTCACTTTGGTTATTTCTGTCACTGAATATTTGCAGTAAACCGGTTTGTACTTTTGTAATTCAGCACAATAGGTATGTAGGCAGGGTTTCATAGTTTGGAAAAATTAACGCCTTGCTCCTGGCTTACCTAGAAATATATTCATATGTAATACTAGTTGCACTTTTTTGTCTTGTATTAGGGAAAGGAATGCTGGGCATAGTACAAGTAATTACATTTATATTTTTTTAACCTATTTACTTGACCTTGTCTGCTACGTAAGAGGAAAAACTACAAATTACAGGGCATCATAGCAAAATGTTTCTGGGGCTCTAACATATCCTCTTTGTGGCAATTTACCCTTGGTCCCCTATGGCAGTGGCATGGGCTACTGTGGTGTTTTGTATAGTTTTGCTGGAAATGTTATATTCATTTTTAATGAATTGTGATTGTTTTTAAAATATTAATATTAATTTAGCTGCAGTTGCTTTATAGTCGCTGTTTTTTAAACTTTTGTTGTAATAGCACATTTCCTATTTTCTTAGCTCATGAGTACATTGGGTTGGCAAGAGCTTTTGAATTTCCATGCCTACCATTTACCACCCTTACAAGGACAACGTATCTCTCTTGGATTTTTATTTCTTTAAATACAGGAATAATATTGCACTTTTGTTGCAGCAGGATATGGGAGTCTCTGTAATGTTAGTATATGGAACGGGTGATCTGACTTCTTGGGTTCCTTGAGAGACGTACAAAGCTAGTGAGTAATTCAGCCCAACATCTGTTCATAACTAAAGCTGACCCTTTGTTCAACACTATATATCCTCCTTATGTGTATACAGATACTTGAAGTCGGGGTTTTTTCATATCGAGGTTTATTTTTAAAGCAAATCAAATTTATTAACCAAATAATTTTTACTGTTGTAAAATGTAGATCAGGTGTTCTGACTGGCTTCATATTTGTTCAGTGACTGTGTCCCTAACTTATTGACTCAAAAAGTATTGAAGCCACATGCAGCCAGGTAACTAGTATGTTTCAGAATATGATAAGCCACACCAGTCCCCGTATTCTTCTCAGTTCAGATTTCCTTTAAAGATTAAGTTCACCTTTTTGCATGTAAAAAAAAAGTGTTTATTTTTTTCTCTGACGCATTGTACCTGCAATCAGCAGATCACGGGTGCAATGTCAGGCTCCTGCAGAATCTCAATATAGTTCTCTGCCCCTACCTCCTGTACGGAAAGATGGTTACTGAAGAGTAAGAGGATCAATTGACTATGATAGAGACCTTGTACTTCATTGAGAGCTACAAGCCGTCTGCCGCAATGGTAGATGGTAGTTGTAGTTCACTCATTCACAGAACTGTTAATGAGTGACGCATGGTTGCGCTCTTTTTAAATTTTGTGTGCATGTATGGGAGTTTTGGAGGGGAGCAGGCAGGTGCTGCTCCTTGGTAACATGTTACACCCTAAATATGGGTGTAACATGTACCATGTTGCCAAATGTGAACTTATACTTTAACTCCCATTGTCCACGGCTCCTACATCACAAAGGCTTATGTCTTATTAGATATCCTGTCCCTAGTGAAAAATCGCCAATGATAGGATTGCTAGAGAGGACAAAAACCACTCACGTGTTTGAGTGAAAAGCAGAATCTCTTGGTGATAGAACAACGCCTTCCTGTTCTGGCTGGTGATTGAGCAACTCCAGTGGTAGGATCTCAAGGGTTTGACATGGCCTAATGTTGTAGGAAGCTCAGCAGAGCGCCGTATAAAGGGAATCATTAAACTGATACATTGGTGTAAGTAGTCTTTGTTGGATAACTGTGTACTGCCTACTGGTTCTAGGACAGTGACCGCTGTAAATAAGTTTAATTCCACTGTCAGAGAACTAATGTGTTGCACATGAGCAAGAGAACGGCTACTTTATAACCTAATCTCAACCTTCCTAACCATTTATGTTGATACAGTCTCCCATTAAGGTGTAACTAAAGGCAGATTTTTTTTTTTTTTTTTTAGATTTTGTACAGTGGAGAGGCATTCGTACACCTGTCAGTTTTTATTGGTGTCTCTGTCCCAATAAAAAGATTCAGCATCTCTATTTGTTGTTTACTGTTATCGCTAAAAGTGAAAGTAAATGAAAATCCCACATTTTGGGTTGACAACGAAACAGTAATAGAGGGAAAATCTTCCAAATGGGGGCATTAGTTCTGGTGACACTCTGGGATTCTCTCACTTTGAAAGGAAATGCTCTCATTTCCTGTTTGGGACAGGAAGTGAAGGGAAATTTCCTCTATGCGATACAGATGGCAAAAAAAATGATATAACCCTCCCTTACTTCGAGTTGAAAAAAGTTTTGCCTTTAGTTAAAAAGATGAAGGCAAAATTATACAATAACAGTGTCGCGCTTCTCTCAAATACAAATAGCGGCACATAGTTCACATTGGGATTATTTTAATGCCACTATTTGTATTTGAGAGAAGTGTGGCATTGTTACTGTATAATTTTGCCTTTAGTTACACTTTAATAACTGACATAAATGCCACTGCATAGCTCTCTGTATATTTTTTTGCTTTACTTTAGAGGTCAGCAAAAATTGATCTCAGTCATGTGATAACAGATTTTATTTCCATTTTTTCAGTAGAATTAATGATTTTTAGAATTATTAACATTACATTACTTATTGCAGTTGAAATCTGTGGTTTAATATGGTCTGTTTCAGTTAGAAAATGTTAACTTTCACAATGCACTCTTTTTTTCTGCAGATTCAGTCATCAGAGAAGGATCGGGAGATTTCAGAGCTCTCCTGCCATGTCGAAGTGCTGCTAAGTGAAAAGAGCAGACTGGAGGACACTGTGAAGGTAAGAAGTTTTGTAACTTTAATGTCATAAAGGATGCTGTGCCTTGGTTCAGTTGGAAATACAGTAGGCTTGTCAGGTACTGAATTTCCACCTGGATGTATTTTTCTGTAATTTGTGATAGAAAAGCAAACCACCCTTGTATCTTTGGATTAAAGTCTAAAGATTTAAAATGGATGAAAATATAATTCTGAGGAAGGCTGGGTATTGTGGGCAAATTGTGCCCTATGTACTCGCTCTCTACTGCATAGGATAAAGCAATTTAATTTGTCCTTTTTTCTCTTTTTTCATCCCACTTTGAATATCTGGCATTAATTGGTAGTGTACTAAGATCAGTTATTCCCACCTGTTTCCTTACTTAGTGATGCTCTTATCAAAAGAATTGCTAAGGGCTCATCCACGGAGGCATTCAATAAGCTCAATTCAGATCTTCAAAATACAGCATCTCACAGAAGTGAGTACACCTCTCACATTTTTGTAAATATTTTATTCTATCTTTTCATGTGACAACACTGGAGAAATGACACTTTGCTACAATGTAAAGTAGTGAGTGTACAGCTTGTATAACAGTGTAAATTTGCTGTCCCCTCAAAACAACTCAACACACAGCCATTAATGTCTAAACCGCTGGCAACAAAAGTGAGTTGCCAGCAATGCTTCAATGCTGGCAGCACTCATATGTCTATTTCCCAAAGACAACGTCTGGATATGATGCTGGGCACGTGTACTCAACTGCTTTGGTCGTCCATGGCGATGCCTGTTCTGAGTGGATCCTGTCCTGTTAAACAGCTGTATGGTCTTGGCCACCGTGCTGCAGCTCAGTTTCAGGGTCTTGGCAATCTTCTTATAGCCTAGGGGTCTGCAACTTTTAAGACATAAAGAGCCACTTGGACCCGTTTCCGAAGGGAAAAAAAAAAGACTGGGAGCCGCAAAACCATTGCAACATTTAAAACAAATCCGACACTGCATATATTGTTTCTTACCTTAATGCTATATACAGGATCGTGCAGTTAGCTTCATCCCCCATATAGTAATTCATCCCCCATAGTAATTCATCCCCCATAGTAATTCATCACCCATAGTAATTCATCCCCCATATAGTAATTCATCCCCCATAGTAATTCATCCCCCATAGTAATTCATCCCCCATAGTAATTCATCCCCCATAGTAATTCATCCCCCATGTAGTAATTAATTCCCCATATGGTCTCAATTCACTTACCTTTGCTCCGCGCGTTCCTCTTGCTGTGTTCCCGCACTGTGTTCCGGTCTTCAGGGCGGACTGTGAGAGGAGAGGAGTTCGTCACGCTGCCCCGCCTACATCCTGGCTGCCCCGCCTACATCCTGACAGCCAATGTTCCACGCTCCGCGGGCCGGATTAAGAGTCCTGACTTTTGAGGCGGCCGCCCGAGAGGAGGGAGGGGAGCGGGCGCCCGGCACACAGAAGAGCCGCATGTGGCTTGCGATCCGCGGCTTGCCGACCACTGAAACCCTATTGCCTGTCACCTGGTGGGCAGTGTGCTCCGGAGCCGCAGCAAAGATGAAAAAGAGCCGCATGCGGCTCTGGAGCCGCGGGTTTGCCGACACCCGGCCTATGCCATCTTTATGTAGATCAACTATTCTTTTTTTTTTTTTTTTTTTTTTTTTTTTTTTTTTTCAGATCCTCAGAGAGTTCTTTGCCATGAGGCGCCATGTTGAACTTCTATTGACCAGTATGAGAGAGTGATGACACCAAATTTAACACACCTGCTCCCCATTCACACCTGAGACCTTGTAACACTAAGGAGTCACATGACACCAGGGAGGGAAAATGGCTATTTGGGCCCAATTTGGACATTTTCACTTAGGGATGTACTCGCTTTTGTTGCCAGCGGTTTAGACATTAATGGCTGTGTGTTGAGTTATTTTGAGGGGGACAGCAAATTTACACTGTTATACAAGCTGTACACTCACTACTTTACATTGTAGCAAAGTGTCATTCCTTCAGTGTTGTCACATGAAAAAATAGAATAAAATATTTACAAAAATGTGGGGGGGTGTACTCACTTCTGTGAGATACTGTATATGGTACTGGACCATAGCAATTAGCTGTGTAAACCAAAACAACGCCGCTGTGGTTATAATTCAGTTTTGATTGTATTTTGCACTGTAAACATTTGCACTAATATTTACATGCATAACATGAATGGATCCTTTGCACTGCTGCTTAGTAATGTACTGTGCACAGCCATCCAGAGCAGTGTGCCTGAGCCGACTGGGAGGAAAACTGTAAACGAAACAGTCTTCCTCCCTGTCGGAGATGCTGGGTAATTACCAGCCGGGACCCAGTGATTGATGGCCGCGAATGGCAGTGCGGGTAGGGCGCGCACGCCCCCTACCCGGCAGTGCAAAATCACGTATATATACACATGATTTTGCGCACCCCTGCCACCCTGTAGCACTATATCTGCTATAGGGCGGCGGGGAAGCGGTTAAAGCATTCCTGCACCACACGGTCAAAATAACAAATGCCAATACCTGAGGAAAGAAGAGGCTCTGTATTTCACTTGCAGCCTTGTGTCTTGAAACATCACCACAATGCTGCTCCTCAGCCCTCCGCAAGAATTTGACATGCCAGATGAGTCAAATACCTTTTTCCCCTGTAGCAGGCATTAATTCCTCTTGCTGGTTAGCTATCCTGTAGTGACATACGAGCCAGCAGAGGGAACCATTGCATGTGGCAGATATACCAGGAATTCACACATCCAAGAAGTGTTGAATAATTGCAGGGGCTGGGGAGAAGCATTGGGATGATGTTTTAAGACACAGGCTGCCAGAAAGGTAAGTATAAAGTCCATTTTCTTTAGCTGTCTTTTTTTTTTAATGCATTTTTGATTTTGTACTAACAGGTTCACTATAAACACGAGAGGCTTAATGCTACCTTTTGCTTGCATCTCATTTTATAGGAACTGGAAATAAATTTGGAAAGACTGTCAGAAAGGGTGGCCAGTGGTCAGACATTATCTGGAAGCAGCTCCCAGGGTTTGCAGTTTTTCAACCCTTATTGTGAAGAGCACAGAGCTGTTCCCATCATACCAATCCAGCCACCTGTACTGCAGTTTGGAAATCCATATACAACCCATGCAACAAGAGGTGAGTGAATCATGGGCTATATTTATCAGGGTGTAAGGTATTATGGTTTATCACACATGTATTGCTCCACAGCAATCAATCATATTCTTCTTTGCAGCTATGCCTATGGAGAAAGCTTAGACAGGTTTATCTAAAGATGTACCCATTTCCACTGAGGATAATCACAATGAAAAAAACATTTGAGTGTATTATATATTGTTCATGATATTACACAGAGAGACTAGTTCTTTGTTCAAAGTTAGATAGGAAAAATAAAGCTCTGGATCTCCATGGTCTCCTGATCTAACAATATGCACAGCAGGAACAGTTAAACATAGTAATAAGGGAATGCTAAGGGAGGGATGTACATCTTACCCTTTTCTTAAAGCCGAACTCCAGCTTTTGCTACACTTTACATAGTTATATCTCTCACTAACATGTGAGGCCGCTGGATGTGCTGTATAAAACTGTATGTAGCTGTGGCTATATACAGCATGCCAAGACCTTCCTGTCTAATACCCGGAACACAGAGTCTTTCTGAGCAGTGCTCAGCCATTCGTAGAAACTGATGTATTCTATCCATGACTGGCTGAATCAGAGGTTGTGACATCAGCCAATCAGAGGAAGCTTTGTATTCATGGATAGAATACATTTCTCTCTATGAATGGCTGAGCGATGCTCAGACAGACTCTGTTGTGTTCCGGGTCTGAGAACACAGTGTTGTATGTAGCCTCAGCTACATACAGTTTATACCACACATCTATTGGCCTCACATGTTAGTGAGGGACACAGTTTGGGCCTGCTAACAAACTATGTAAAGTGTAACAAAAGCTGAAGTTCATTCAGTCTTAAAAGATGGTCAGACTGCAGATCAGGATAAACATGTGGCAACAATGATAGCAGTAGAAAAAAAAAAGATTTTTAAATACACAATATTAGACCTTTACAGCTAACCTAATCTCCACAAATATGTAGATGAAGCAGACCTTAGGGCAATAGATAGAGGCAGTAGAGTGAACAGAAATGTCTCTGAGCTGTAAAAAGCAGGTTCTTCAGTACTTCGATTCAGGGGCACATGACCTGGAGCTAGCATATTTGGTCATTTAACTGGAAGCACTTTTTTTGCATTGTATCCTGTATCAGCAGAGTGTTTATTAACTAAAGACTCCCCAGTGCGCTTCCGATCCTATTTTCAAGTCATGTGACATACTGCTTTTTACACTTGACAGATGTTTCCTCAGGTATTACTGCCCCTGCTCTGTCTTCCTAATGCCTACCTCATCCCCTTACTTTAATGTTTCGGTCCTCCTCCTTCATCATAACCATGTGTGTTCTTTCATGCTGATATTTGACTGATAGTTGTCCTTTAGAGGACACCTTTACCACTGGTGAAGATCAAACTTGTGAGGAAAGTGATACTGTATGTACAGTTAGGTCCATATATATTTGGACACAGGCACAATTTTCATATTTTTGGCTCCGTATGCCACCTGAATAAATTAAATCAAAACAATCCAAAGGAATTTGAAGTGCAGACTTTCAGCTTTAATTTAAGGGGTGGAACATAAATATCAAGTACAAATTTTTGAAACTGCAACCATTTTTATACACAGTCCCGCCATTTTCAGGGGCTCAAATGTAATTGGACAACTGAATATAATCATAAATAACATGTTCATTTGTAATATTTTGTTGCGAATCCTTTACTGGCAATGACTGCCTGAAATCTGGAACCCATGGACATTACCAAAGACTGGATTTCCTCCTTTCTGATGCTTTGCCATGCTCTAACTTCAACTGTCTTCAGTTCTTTGTGCGTCTTTCTGCCTTTAGTTTTGCCTTCAGCAAGTGAAATGCATACTCTATTGGGTTGAGATCAGGTGATTGACTCATTACAGAATATTCCACTTCTTTTCCTCCTGGGTTGCTTTTGCAGTGTGTTGCTTTTGCAGGCTTATGAATGGTTTGCACCTTGTGGTGAACCCTCTGTATTTGCTCTTGTGAAGTCTTCTTTTGATTGTAGACTTTGACAATGATACGCCCACCTCCTGGGGAGTGTCCTTCACTTGTCTAATGTTGTGAATGGGTTTTTCTTTACCATAGAGAGGATCCTGCGATCATCCACCACTGTTGTCTTCCATGGATGTCCATGCCTTTTCATGTTGCTGAGCTCACCAGTGCTTTATTCTTTCCTTAGAATGTACCAAACTGTTGATTTGGCCACTCCTAATGTTGCTGCTATCTCTCTGATGGATTTGTTTTGTTTTTGAAGCCTTACAATGGTTTGATTCACTTGCATGGACAGCTCCTTTGAACGCATGATGTAGGTTCAGAACAATAGATTCCAAATGCAAATACCACACTTAGAATTAACTCCAGACTTTTTACCTGCTTAATTGATGAAGAAATAACGAAGGAGTAGCCCACACCTGGCCATGAAACAGCTTTTGATTCAATTGTCCAATTACTTTTGGTTCCTTGAAAAAAAGTTGTAATTTCTAAACCCTTCCTCCAATTTGGATGTACATACCCTCAAATTAAACCTGAGAGTGTGCAATTTCAGCCCATATCCATTATATAACTATAGCTTGAATATGTTTTGGTAAATACCTGAAAAAAAAACAAAATTGTGCCTGTGTCCAAATATATATGGACCTAACTGTATAAATGCATGGATTTGTGACCTTTGTAATACAAATCTTTCTTTTATTGCACCCCCTGTTGATATACTGCTATATTTTGTACATAGATGGGGCAGATGGTGCTTTTAACCCAGATGAAGTCCAGGGTCCTCCAGCACAGGCACCTTCATGGGATTATGAAGGCAAGGTGGTCTGCAGCCAGCCTGCTCGCAACCTCAGCCGGCCGGATGGCCTGGAAGATCCTGATGATAACAACCAAGTAAGTCCAACTTTTATGTTTTAACCAGTAATGGTATTTTGTTCCCATTTCCATTGCTACATTTAATACGTATTACTGAAAAAAAAATTAAAAAGCTTATTTTAGATGAACATTTTATAACCGTAAAATGTTCTATTTCTTTTCTAGTGTTGACTTCTACCCACAGCATAAATCCTACTGTCTAGATAGCACACAGAACCTTTGATCTTAGTTTGGATTTATGATTTGGCTTCAGAATTGTAGACAGAAAGACAAGGTAGCTAATTTAACAGGGGTAGTAATGTTCATCCTACTGTAAGTAAGACATAGACTTGGAGACACTTGGCTTCTCTGTGCAGATGTTTCTCATCCCCTTTGTCACCAACTTAGATAAATCACCAGGACATGAAATTCTGATATTACTATACAGTTCTTTCACATTGTTTCAAAAAAATTAAATGTTACCATCTATATTAAAAAAAATGAAACACATATATATATATATATATATATATATATATATATATATATATATATATATAAGGTAGAATTTCAGTTAGACAGCAACAGTGTTAAAATACTTGTATGTGACCTGTTTTATATACTAAAATGGTATTTTATTCAGCCAAGTGATTTACATAGTCCTACACTGTATAGCCAGGAAGATAACACTAGTATTCAGAAGTGGAGTTTTGCAGTTTTCTGTGTCTACTACCTTTTAATTGGACCATGAAGAGCATTCATACACTGTGTCTAAGCTGCCTAAACACCTTCTTCTTCAGCTTCCAGTGCATGAAAAATGCGGGCATAGCATTAAAAGGGTAGTAGCTAATAATGCAAAATTTTGCAACTTTCTGATATCTATTATTTATTACAGGTACTTATATAGCAGCATCAATTTATGCAGCACTTTACATATATTGCACATTCACAAATGACTCTGCCCTCAAGGAGCTTACAATCTAAAGGTTTCCGTTGCAGAGTGATTGGTGGGAAGATAATAAAACGTTAGATTCAGCCAGTTATACCAGCAGTACTTCTACAGTACATAACTGGACTAAAAGTCTGTACACTGATGGACATGCCTGTGTAGTGACATAACAGTGGAGATAGTTGCATTTACCTCCCTGATCACACATCAGTAGGATGCCATATTTTATAAGGTCTTCCAGATCTTTCCTAAGTGTAGGAGGTGCTTTCTGCAACAGCACAGTTTCTCTATACATACTACATGATTTCACCTGATACTTACAATTTTGATGGGTTTTAATGAAATTTGGATAGAGGTGCTAGAGACATCTACTTACAGTGATTGGGTCTGTGGGCACAGCATGCTTCTATATATCATATAACAACATTTTTCACGATCATGTAGAGGTCAGTTCCTGTCATGCAGCTGCCATCTCTTATATTATCAAATTTACAGTGGGGCAGAATGGCTGTCTTGTTAGTTGATTGAAAAGTTTAGTATTTTGTAACAAATGCCAATGCTTCTCGACCTGTCTGGCAGATGTACAAGTCAGATAACCTCTCTTGCAGCGCAGGTAGAGAATTGATAATTGTGCCATGGCTATACAGTTCATGGTACATCAACTTCTCTCTTTGATTTTCCTAAATTAAATTGAAATGTCAGTGTGTTTGTTAGATTTGCACTTCTACATTAAGACTGGGGGCCCTCTTGATCTCTGCAAAATACAAGTGATGAGAGATACTTATCTGTTGAATAGTGTGCTCTTTTTATTACAGTGGTACCATGACCTGTTCCTCATTTAGTCTAGTTTGCTGTGTTTAATTGCCATTAACCTTTGTAGAAAGTGATAAGTTCTTTGACAGCTATGATAATAGCCTTGGCACTCGGCACCCATAATGGAGAAAACAAGCATTTCTCCCTGTTGCTTCACATCCTTTGTGTCTGTGATTGAAGATAATTAGGAAGTCTGTCAGGAGTTTTTTCCCCTTGCCAGTTTTAAGGTCTAAAGTGTTTTCCCACTGATGTCACCCACCTTTACCTCATATTTTGCATATTGTCTGCTCCCACCGCTGGCAGAAACATTACACATGACAGGAGATGCTCTTCTCTAGTCAGTGGGGGCACTTTAATTAG